GAGGCGACGCTGCTCCATGAAGATCAACTTAAATCAGACAAACTGATGAAACTTGTCAACTTGGAGAGTTAAAAGAGCTTCAAGCAGAGGATTCAAGACTTTCAGACAGTTGTGTGGATTTAAAGTGTAAACTCAGGTTGCCGTGGTGACAGAATATTGAACTGGTTTAAATGTAAACAGCTCTTGATCAGCAGTAAGTCAATCAGAGCAGGAAAAGAGTTCTTCTCCATTACTTCTGTAGTACCAGTGTTGTATTTTTTACAGCAAATATACATACATGTGGTGTAAACTCAACTAAATTGGTGATACAGATACAAAATGTTCACATGCAATGAGATATATGCACACAAACTTTGAATTTCTCTTTCATTTAATTTTTTTAATTAATTTGAAAATAACCCATAGAAAAAGTCAGTAAGAGCAAGCGTGCAAGTCGGCTGTGGCTTCAGTGTGACTTCAGCTAATCAGTTTTGGCCAGTGCAAACAAGTTTTCATGAGTTTAACAACCAGCAAGAAAACACACAATCTGACGTAAGTGAAGTCATCTCTCACTACTGTATTGTTTTGAAATGGAGGAAAGATTTTACAAGTAACTTTTTATTCTAAATCTTGGACGTTATTCTTGAAACAAAAAATGAGCAATAATAAGGTGTGAAGCACCAAAAGCGGCTCATATTAAAATGAATTTGAATAGTAATTTGGCTATTATTGTTTATTTTAAATATTTAACTAATATCTTTTGGAACATTATAATGTGTGGTTTTGATGGCCATCCCACAAGCTAATCCAGCTAAAAATAGTGCTAAAAATTGCACTTAAATGCAATATTTAAATGTCACCATTAAATAAAAAATGATGCGAATAACTGCAAAAGAGTCAATTTTTGAGAAAAAGAATCACCCCTTTCACCAGGCTGGCTTCATCACTACCTGGCTGAGATACAATATTAAGTAGGTATCAGACCAAACAAGAAGCACTGCATTAAATTCCATTTTTCTGCACCGTCTTTAAAATATGGAAATTAATTTGACCCCAGTATTTTCAATGAAACTTTTGCGCTAGTCTGCTGCTATAATTTGTGCAGCACGCTAATTATTCTCTTTATTCTCTATTTTTACCTGGGGATACTCATCCCGAGGTCCTCAGATTATGCAGAGTCACTGATTGGATCCAAGACCAGCGACAAGATGATCCCAAGGTTTCCATATCCGGGACCAGGCCATATCCTGAGCTGCTGCTGCGCTGATGGTCATGGGGAGTGGAGAACATGAGTCTGATTCCGGCGACGCTCCAGGGACAGACGAGTCTTCGCTGAGGCCAGCTTCCAGCCTCCACCGCAGTGACTGAAGCTCTGCACAAGACTTTTGGCCAGCGGAGAAATTTAAATGGTCATGCCCAACTGAGTCTGGTTCTCTCAAGGTTTTTTTTCTTCACTCCTATCAGGTGAAGTTTTTTTTCCCTCTCCGCTGTCGCCACTGGCTCACATGGTTCAGGATTGGTAGAGCTACGCATCGATGAATTTGCTCTTCAGTGTTTGAACTCTCAGTAATGATTTTAAATCACACTGAACTGAGCTAAACTGAACTGAACTGAACTTAAACACTAAAAACTGAACTACACTGTTCGAGTTACTATGACCATTTATGTGAAGCTGCTTTGACACAATCTACATTGTAAAAGCGCTATACAAATAAAGCTGAATTGAATTGAATTGAATTTTTTTCACACTTTAACAATCAAATGGATGCGTAAACCTTTTTAACTGATTACATCACAACATCCATGCTGTAAAAGGAACCATATCAGATTGAAAATAGTCACATTAAGGCAAGCTTTTACCGAGAGTTCATCATTGGCTGAAAAACACTATCTGTGCATATACTGTATAGCTCATTGAAGTCAAAATGATCAGCCCTCCTGTGATTTTTTTTTTCTCCAATATTTTCCAGTTTGTTTAACAGAGCAAGGAGTTTTTTTTACATTATTTCATTTAACATGTTTCTCTTCTGAAGAAAGTCTTATTTGTTTTATTTCAGCTAGAAGAAAAGCAGATTTAAAAAAAAAACATTTTATGGTCAACATTATTAACCCCCTTCAGTATTTTTTTTTTTCAATTGTGTACAGAACAATCCTTATACATCCCTTATCTTCATCTTTATACAATGATTTGCCCACTTACCTTCCTAGTTAACCCAATTACCCTAGTTAAGCTGAATACTTGTATCTTGAAAAAAATGTTTGGTAAATGATGTGCTATCCTCATGGAAAATATAAAAGAAATCAGTTATTAGAAATGAGTTACAAAAACTATTATGTTTAGAAATGTGTTCAAAATTTCTTATTTCCATTAAACAGAAATTGGGGGAAAATATACAGGTGGCGAATAATTTAGGAGGGCTAATAATTCTGACTTCAACTGTATATTATGCATTAGCATGTATATGTCTGCTGTTTGTGTTTAAATGTTACCTACAGTGTCTAAAGTTTTATACATAACACAATATCCACAAAATACTTTCTGGAGAATAGTGGCTTTTTTAGCACATTAGTAGATTTACATCGTCTATATTTCATGACTTCAGCTCAAATGCTCTGTTTTAGTTCACTCCACATCATTTCATTGAGGTTAAAGTTAGATTAAGATTTGTAAAACACGAGATATTTATTTATTTTGCTCTGGTGTGTAAGATTTCCAATCATAAATCCTTGTGATTTTACTTTACAAAATGTTCAATTATTTTTGAAACATTACTCACAGAATAATTCTGAGTGTCTGGAATTTTAAAGCCATTGTTTTTTAATATGCTACCTAACTACCTACCTACCAACCTATATAACTATCTATAGCAGGGGTGGCCACCCCTGATCTATAGTTATCTTCTTATTAGCTTCCCTGTTATTTTTCCCCAATTTCTATTTAACAGAGAGATTTT